AGAGAGAGAGAGAGAGAGAGAGAGAGAGAGAGAGAGAGAGAGAGAGAGAGAGAGACTGACTCTGGAGTCCTGGGAAAGATGGGGGCAGGCTTATTTTTCTGGCAGTCTATTCTCTTCTCATGTTTCTTCTTGCATTTGTTGTGGTGTGGTAGAATCAGTCTGTTAACTTGTCTTAAAGAAGTGAGTGAGGGATGGAGGAACACAGTCTGCCCTTAAAGAATGGGAAGCTTACACTGAGTGGAACTCTTACAGAAGCCAGAGAGCTAGAGGAGCCAAAGCAGGGCACTGGTACAAGCAGTGAGCAAAATGTGGATAGTTTTGAAAGCATTCTTAAGACACCTTTCTTCTCTCCCTGTTCCCAAGTGTTAACTGCCACATCTTCATTAGCTGATGGTTAGAAAATCCTGAAATCTTACAGCTTTGGTATTATAACTTAATGTGTTCAAACCTGTAAGTTTAGAACACTTACTCAAATGGAAAAATGGGATGAAGTCAATCTCTTAAGAAGGAGCTTAACGAGAAATTTTGTGGTCGAGCAACAATAAAATGTTTGATTCACTCATATGAGATAACTTGTATTCCCATTGTGTGAGATATTTATTTTATCTACCTAGATGTCAAAATTTCAGAGGCCAGTTGGGAGACTACTGGTACATGGGGGACAAGTGTGAACAACTCTGGAACACTGTGGACCTGATTTTAGTAGCAACATTGCCTGGAATAGCACTGGCTTTAATTGTTGGTGTGGCAATCCAGATTATCCACTACTGTAAAGGGAAGTCAAAGAAGAAGGGAGATCATCACAGGTAAAAGATTTCTAAGTACTTCAAAGAAAAGTAGATAGTCTTTCATTTGATCAGCAAATTAATCAAGATATAGTGAATGGCATTTACCATGCATGCAATGTGTATGTTTTCTTTCCTATTTATCAATATTATAATTCAAAGTCAAATTAACACTGCCAAAGTACACATATTTAGTTTAGAATCTCAGTAGGGAAAAATCTAAAAGTCCCTTCTCCAGATAAAACTCAAATGCAATTGACAAAATGTCCCATTTTAGTGTTTTCTTTCCAGTAAGGCAATGCTTGTGTGCACCGTGCATTCCACCCTGGTGGTGTGGGAACAAATGATCAGGCACTGCTGTGCTAGTTCATCCAACTCCTTTATACCAGCAGCAATATCCAAGACACCAAATATGAATCTAATAGCCTTGTCTTCGATGAGATTCTGTCTTATTTAACTAATTGCACCTCCCTGAGCTTTAATTTCCTCATCCTCAAAATTGAGATGTTTATAATCAGACCTACTCACTTTAGAGACGGTCGGGATAATACTAAAAGCAGCAATCAGGTATTGGCTGTTTATTATGCATGGCAGGATAAGTTACAAATATATCATAACTATTAATTCATTTGATCCTCTCAACAAGCCTATAAAATACTGATGAGACTACCAAGGCATAGAAAGATCAAATAACTTGGTGAAAGTTGTGGTGCTGAATCTGGTTACTAGGCATAAATTCCATGCTATGCTAATGGAATCTGATCAACTAAAACAGTATTAAAGGTGGTATGCCTTGCTGAATCACCTTTATTTCTTTATGTAAAACAAACTCCATCCTTTATAGTTTTCAGTGCTTCTGAACTTTAGAAATATGTGGTTTAAATACCAATGTATAATCTCATGAACTTTCTATCAATTAAAATAATCATCTGCTTTACTTTATCATTCCTCTGTGACAAGATAATGTTACCTTCTAAGCATCATGGGGATACTTTGAAATATTATTTTAAAACTGGAACTAACTGATACTGTTTGCCTCATTTTGATAAGAACTGGCTTTCAATTTGCAACAAAGTCAGCAATTTGAACTGTCATAGGTATTTGTCTGTTGAAAGCATAAGATTAAACTCACCAATTATTTTATCATTTTAAATTTCCAATCTCTGTGCCATTATTCATATTCTTTTAAGTGCTATGTGGTGTATTCGTATACATATGTGTATTCATATGTGTATTTATGGGTATATATAATAAATGTTAATCAACATTAATGTAAATTCAAATTAATATGAAGAATTTCATATTATCAGTTGATATAAGCTGTAACCCCCCCCTTGGACACTAAAGAATCATTATAAGTAACATGTAGGTCACTTTAAAAACAGTCTCTGTAATTTCCCTATCCCAAAGTTCTTTGTTAGATTTATCATTTTTATATATGTGCATGTGTGTCTGGGTATACAATGTGAGGGGGAATGTCCATAGACACTAGAAGAGGGCATCTGATACCCTGTAGCTAAAGTTATACACAGTAGTGAGCTTCAAGACATGGGTGTGGGGAACTGACTTTGGGTCCTTCAGAAGAGGAGCAAGTGCTTTTAACCACTGAGCACTTAATTACAGTCCTCTATACCAAAGTTCTTAATCAATGGACATATATTCCAATTCTCTTTCTTCTGTGACTCTGTGACTTTGAGTAAGCAAAAGCTCACTGTTTCCTCATTTATAGAAAGAGGAGTATATATCTCACTTCTTGATTAGTCAGTGATTTAAATTAAATAACTAATGGTACTGAGAATGACAGAATCAAGATAGTAGTAGCCTTCATAGGATTTGAGCTCATTTCTGGGCTTTCTGTGTACTTAAGCTACTCTATTTTCTTTCACTTAACATGATTTTTAGTTTGAGTTCCTTTTTATAGCTCTTTTATTATCTGCATTGTAAATTGATGAGATAACTCTGAATCTACTCTGTGAAATTATTTAGCTTAGTGGAGAATGTAAAAATTATTGAGCTTAAATAGAGTTCACATCTCTTTCCCACAAATCATTACCTAAGAGGAGAGTTTCTTTAAATTTTCTTAGCCTTAAGTTTCTCATTTATAAATTGAATTTAAAACACCCAACTAGCAGACTTTCTATAATATTCTAATGAGAATGTGTAATTCTTTGTGTAATATCCTGCTTTCTAAAATTTACTTTCAATTGTATAATAAATAATATAGATTAATGGTTGGATAGGAAAATGGATATATAAATATGTATATGTTAATAAATGCAATAAAATGGTAATGGTTGAATCAATTTTGGGAGATATATGAATAATTGCTGAAATTCCTTTTGACTTTGCTATATGCTTGAAAGTTTTTACAATGAAATGTATAGAATCAGATGGAGTAAAGCACCTTGACGATAAAATAGATTCGATGGATTGTAGCTTTTATCAATTCTTTTTCTTGAGTACAGTCTTAAAATGGGAACATTCATAGTGTATTATTTAAAAAATTATTAAGACATTGGTATAATAAGTTATGCAAATGTTTTTCCATAACTGAATTGCGTTTTTATTTTTATGTGCCAGAGAAGAGAGGAATATGTCAGAACTTCGACCTCACCATAATTCTACATATGGTTTTGATACTGATAGGAATCTTCCTCAACCTAATCAAGGCGAGGTAAACACTGAAACTCATTTGTCAAATAAACTAGGTTTACAGAAGACATCAAAGAGAAAAATGCTATAGAGAATGAAAGCAGAGCATACAAATGTTAAAAGTAAATGTTATCAAAAGATAAAATTGCAAAACTATGGGATGTTTGGTGCCAGGTTAGATACCAATTACCAACAGAGTACAGGCCAGGTCTACAGCAGTGACACTGCAAATGCTCTCTACCTCTTCTTCCCATCATTTTCTTCCAGGTAGAATCAAGTTAAAACAGATATTAAAGACAGGCTTGGAGAAAACTAAAATACATAGTAAAAAGGAAACAAAAGTTGCCAGAGGAGGGCAAGGAAGATATGAGTAAAAAGAATTTGCTCTAGACATGAAAATCTTATAGCTAACAGTATATTTTCAAATGCACAGATCATTTAAAAGAAGTCATGTATTGGTGAAATTATTAAGGCAACTCCACGATGGCTACCCACTACAGTCATGTGGAGATCTTGGAGAATCAATGTATTTAAGGAGTCACTCTGAATAAAAAAATAAATAAATAAAAGGGACCTTGCTGTCACATTAGACCGAAAGTATAAGAGGTGTCAGAAGTACTGTTGTTCAAACAAATCATAAAGTACCACTGTTGTGGTTTGAAAGAAAATGCCCCCCAGAGGGAATGGCACTATTAGGAGGTGTGGCCTTGTTGGAGTAGACCTGTGTGGTCTTATTGGAGGAAGTGTGTCACTATGGGGGCAGGCTTTGAGGTCTCTTTTCTCAAGCTTCACTCAGTGTGACAGTTAGTCAACTTGCTGCTGCCTTCTGGTCAAGATGTAGCCAGCACCATGTCTGTCTGCATGCCACCATGCTCCTCATCATTATGATAATGGACTGAACCTCTGAAACTGTAAGTCACCACCTCAATTAAATGTTTTCTTTGTAAGAGTTGCAGTGGTCATGTTGTCTGTTCTCAGCAATAAAAACCCTAACTAAGGCAGATGTTGATATCAGGGACTGGAATATTGCTATGATGCTATGATAGGCCTGACCAATCTTTTGTTTGGAGTAGTATAGACTTTAGTATTTTGGTTTAGGAAAGACTGAAATGCTTTAAGCACTGCTTAATGGGCCATACTAGTGAGATCATAGAAGACAAAGTTGCTGATAATGATTTGAAATGTCAGGAGCTGGCTCAAGAGGATTCAGAGAAGAATTTTAGTATGTTGCCTAGAAATAGTTCTTGTGATTGTTAATTCCACCAATAGATAATAAAAAACTACCACATTTTAAAACCAAATATGAAGCAAGCTTTACTTAAATACTGGCTAAATGGATGGGTTCTGACCAGGTCCATACCCAGGCTCCCAGGAAATGGCCTTGAATCACAATTTACAGCAGCTTAAGAAGGAAAACCCATAATTTATTGCATTTCCCGTCATGTCCAATCATGGGTAAGCATACATCCTGATGTACCTCTAGCCTGTGAATCTCCCACCCATACATGATCAAGCACATCAGCATAGATGAGTCAAACTTGTTTAGGGGGATGAAAAGCATGTGTCTTGTTATCTCCCATAAACAATAGCCTCCAACATTTCAGGAACTATCTGCCTTTGGGTAAGGAGCTTGCAGATCAGAGATATTTTTGTTTCATGAATCTCTTAGGCATAGTAATTAAAACTTAAAATGTAACTTTGGCTCTCACATTCCCTCATTGAGTTGTATCCTGAGTCACATTGTTGACTCTGTAATGTTACCTGTTTATATTGGGATTTAATAACCATCAACTTAATGCTACCCAGACAGGAATTATCATTTAGTTAAGACATCAATGATGCAAGAGCCAACAGCAATTAGCAGAAGCAGAAAAGCCCTGTGATGACTGACAGAGTTACTATTTAGAAGGAACCTAGAAATGAGAATGGGGACCACTTATTTCATCTCAGGTCCCCAATGATAGGGAGTTTCCTTTTGATCTAATATTACAGCTTGTTGGGGGACAATGGGTGATGTACTCTCTTATGTAATTACTTCCTGCTGAAATTTGGACATTTTTGTTAGGGCCCAGGAAGGCTGGAATGCTAGTCAAAGGCAAGAAGGGAATTCAGGCAATGGAGTATTCATCAGAAGCATCTGATTCACTGACCCAGCTGGAGAAACAGGAAGCATTTATATCAGCTGAATTGGTCCATATCAGCTTTCAGCAAGTCCAAGGCTCACAAGCATTTGGAGCAGGTTATAGTCAGCAGCTGATGCTTGGATGTGTCTGTCAGCCAAGTGGAAACCTACTGAGTCAGATATAGACTAAAAACAGAAGTTAAAATTTAGGAACTTAAATAAAATTCTTACACTTAGAACTTTTAGCCCCATAGTCTTAGTAACTGAGGAAGTGGGGAATCTCAAAGACCAGGAGAGAGAAATACCACCCTCAGGAATAGCCAGGTGGGGAAACTTAGGCTGTTATTATCTAGAGTCCTTTTGATCTGTGAGAAGTGGATTCAAGTCTCATGACTCCCCAGATTCTCTGAAACTTATATGAATTTTTAGTTTACAAAAAGACATAAAAGTTTTAGATATATTAACATTATCAATCTGTACTGAATTCCATATTGTAGAAAAAGCAGGTAACAGGTGTCTGTAAAAAAAGTTGGAGTAGGCTCACAACTTTGAGTCCCAGCAAAAGGTATAGATTTGGGTTTAAAAGCATGCACATTTTCTTTGTGTCCAGAGAGCTAGGTATAGATTGTACAGAGATGTCTTCAGCCTGGTGAGAAAGTACCTTTAAGTTCATACTTAGAAGACAACCAAAGAAATCTAAAATCTCGAGTTTGTGACTGAACTCCATTGATCAATGTCAAAACATGGAACTTTTGAAGTCCTAGTGTAACAATAGCATAGAAGGGAAAAGAAATCTGAAACATTTACCATTTTTACAACTTGCATTTATATCTTAAATCATTTTCCAAGACTCTCAAAACTTGCATAGACTTTCATATCCTCAGACCCTTATGTATCTTGAAACATTTTTAGACCTTAGAAACTTGCACAGACTTTAACCCTTTTTTCTTCTATCTAATAATTTACAAGAGACATAAGCAATTATATCTGAGAACAGTCATTTTAAATCATGTCTCTTTAGTGGAAAATTACATCTGAAACCTGTTTATCTTTTCATAGGAAGCCTGTTAGCAAGGCAAACCTGACTACTTTTTCTCTGCAGGAGACCTAGTAGCTCTAGAAAAAGTAAGGTTTGATTTTTTTTTTTACATATGAAATAAGCTAAAGAGGTGACTGTAACCTTGGGGAAGAACTTGGTTGCCTGTTGCTGCTAAGCTGACAACACCATCAGATCTGAGAAGAATAAATTATAGCACAAAGTATAATCCAAATGGCCTATATATCAATTAACATAACAGAGACTAGTCCATTACCTAGATAGCCATCCCAGGTTCCTGTGGTCTTCATGACATGGCATTGGAAGTAGAGGTATCAGTACAGCATCAGTCTTTGTCTGCCAGTACGAGAAGATGAGAGGCTTTCATGTGGAGGAGGAACATGGGAGATATTGACCTTACTTTGTCTAGCCAAAGTAGGGCAATAAACTCTTCAGTGTCCTGCTTCTCCATAGTTTTGGCCTGGTCCTGGTAGCAGATGCTGCATTGGGGCAGTCTTGCTGAGTGGTTAGTGTTACCAAACTCAGGTAGAGTCATTGTGTTGCTCCATCATCTTCCTTGGAGACATTGATGTCACTGCTAGGATCTGAGAATCTCTGTCATAGTATGCTTTTTCCATTAAACATTTTAAATGCCATATTCATCAAATCTCTGACAAGTTTGAAGACCATTATTTTACAGTTAAGTGTATCTGAGCTAAATGAACCTAGGCTTAATCATGAAAACATAACTAACGTGACTACAAGTTTGATTATTATAGACAACTAACTACTAATCTGTATTTCTTAATTATATATTTCATTTTTAAATGAGCTGCATAGGTACAATACCTTAAATAAGAGTAGAAACACACACACACATAGTATAACAAAAATAACTTTAAATGTTTATCAATATACAAAATCCATGCCAATGAGAAATATTTGAGACTAGTAGTTTTTTTTTTTTTAGTTTAAAAGTAGATCCAATAATCTACCCTTTTCCATATCCCCCCATTTTTTGAAATAGATCCCTAAATCTAACCTCCTTCATTCTTTCCTGATCATGGCCAATAACAACTTGCAACCAACCCCCCTAAATAATGACAAACATCCACCAAATGACCAGAAACTATTCACTCAATTCTTGGGAATGTGGGTGCTGTGTTCTCTAGACTGCATCCTGTTGTCTGGATGTGATGGAATCTCCAGGGGAATCTGAGAAAACGGAGACAATGGCTAAGTCCTGGGAAAACTAATTGTAACATTTGCAGTCCAGTCTCAAAACTGTTCCCATGCAGATGGATCAGCATATATGTCATCTGCCCTGTAGTCACTCCTGGATTCCTCCCTCACATCTGTAGCCAAGATCCTCAGGAGGTTTCCCCAGTCAAATCTGATCTTTATTAATTTTGAAGGAATCCATAGCTTTTTGTTTTCTGTAGAAACAAAAGTATAACCTCTCCCCCAAGGCAACACAATACCCAACAACCATTCTGAAGCCAATGCATCCTTAAAGTATATAGGCTGGTTTAAAATTCAGCACTTCTTTCCATAATCCAATGTATCTCAGCAGCTGCTGTTTGCTCATCAGCATTTTTTTTTAAAAAATCAATAAAGCAACATACAGGATCCAGGGGCATCCTTGCATGACTTATTTTTTTTATAGATTACTTTATTCTTTCTTTAAAGACTTTATTTTAGTCAGATTTTTCTTAATTATCCTTAATAGTTTACAATAATTTATTAGCTTTCATAAGACTAGGACTTGCTGGGGTAGGGCTTACCAGCAGGCTGAAGCTTAGAGGTTAGCATTGTCCTTGACAAGTTGATAGGCACCATAGCCATATGTGTAGCTAGAGTTTTCCTGCCTGGCCCACAGTCAGG